GATAAACTTGTGGTCCTCTGTTAACGTCTCTAGTTAATTAGGGACGGGACCGCCATTAACGTGATCATCCGAGCCACGTGAAGGTCTAACCATTTGCARATGTAATTACAAAGGCAGCACCTTCTCCTCAGTTATTTTAAGACCCTGAGTGTTGGTCCGGCCGAGACTTGAACAACGACCTCCCGCACAACAGACCGACGCTCTTACCAACTGAGCTAGCCGGGTGGCCTTCCTTTACTGTTGCATTGCTTGAGATGGAGAAGTGGGTGATGTTTGCCTTTTCTGCGGGTATGGAGAAATAAAATAGAAAACAAAAATAAATAAAAAAGAAACAACACAACACAACACAGCACAGCAGAGCAATCCTCGTCAGTTTACCTTCTTCGATATAACATGACATTTTACTAACAACACTTGTAATCTTTACAAATATTACCAAATGTGCGTAGCTCAAACCAATCCTCCAAAGGGCTCCTGTAGATCCCCATTTCAATATCAATGCCATACGTTTTCTCCATATCACTCTTCGTCAAGTTATAAAGCATCACTTTGGACTGGTAAACCCCATTGTTTCCACCATTTCCTTCGTAACCGTACTTCTCCTCACAATTCTTTGCTTTCTCAACATTCCCATTCTCATCCACTTTTAAGCATTTTCTGGATACATATCCCGGATACTTCCACTCYCCGAACAAGAACTCTAGTATTTTGGTACCGTGGGGAGGCAAGGACTTGATTTCATATTTCCAAGTCAGGTTCAGGTTTTTTCCTTCTTTACCGAAGATCTTTTTTCCTTTTAATTCTTCGATGAAATTCGACATTTTGGCGTCCGCTAAAAAATTCAATATAAAATTATGTTAGATATACTTAGTCAAAAGAAGCCAAGGCGTCTTTATTCTTCTAAATATACACTCAATTGAAGAATTGTTGTCGGGTTCAGAAGCATAGAACATAAAAGCTGAGACCGAAATGGCACATGGGAAATGACATAATTATATTATAATTTATTCATTTGCGCCATCCATGTAGTCGGTTTAGAATGCCAAACGCGTATAGGTTGCTATCAATAGACGTCACTTCCGGTAATAGCTCTTTTTTGATGGCTTGTATAATCCTGGAGGTTGTTTTGATCTCTTGTTTTCTGGTTTCATGTCGTAGAAATAGTCAAATACAATAGTTTGAGGACTTATTTTGATATGTTTTGACTTAGCATACGCTAGTTGCCCCCCAGTCAACCGCTTGTTTGCCCCCCAGTCAACTCCAAAGAGTCAAGTGATTCACGGGTCGCCGGTCACGGCATGAATCTAATTAACGTACTTCCCATGTGAGATTTCGGTCTCAGCTTCTATGTTCTATGTTTCTGAACCCGACAACGATTCACTTGAGTGTAGTCATCAAAGGAATTGAAACGAATATCCCTTGTATTGAACACTTGTTTGTTTTTCAAGCTACGGTTTTAGGGTTAGATTTATGTTCAACCGGCTAGTTCCTAGTCAACCGGTCGTTCGACACTTGCGCCTATTCAACTATGCATTATTAATTACGATTTACTTCGCAAGATCAGAATTTTAAAATATCTTTCACTATTATCTAGACATAGGTCATAAAATTTTGTCACGGCCGTAAAACGTTTCTTGTGGGAATGAGAGAAAGGACTGCTAACCTTAATTTTAGCAAAAAAAATCCACTTCATTGGAAAGCTTAGGTTCAAGTGAAAAAGAATATGATATTTCTGGTGTTTCGAAATAAGTCGGAAAAATTGATTTTAGTGATAACTGACTTGAAGCGGTGGAATGACGCCGAAGTCAATGCTTGTATCACAAATTGAGTACTACCAAAATGACTTCCCTCAATTTCTGTTCTAGATAACTTCTGAAAACAATATTGACTTCATTGGAAAGCTTAGGTTTAAGTAAAGAAGAATATGATATTTCTGGTGTTGCGAAATAAGTTGGAAAAATTGATTTTAGTGATAACTGATACATGAGGTGGAATGACGCCGAAGTTTGTTTATATCGTCGAGTACCACCAAGATGACTTCCCTCAATTTCTGTTCTAGATAACTTTTGGAAACAAAATTGACTTCATTGGAAAGCTTAGGTTCAAGTGTAAAAGAATATGATATTTCTGGTGTTTCGAAATAAGTTGGAAAAAAGTTTTTAGTGATAACAGATACATGAAGTGGAATGAAGATTGTTTATAAGTCGAGTACACCAAAATGACTTCCCCTAATTTCTGTTCTAGATAACTTTTGGAAACAAAATTGACTTCATTGGAAAGCTTAGGTTCAGTAAAAAGTAAAATTAAAGGTTTATTAACAAAGAATGCGATATTTCTATACTAAATTCTCGGAGTTCGGTTGTCAAGGCGGTTGTCAAGGAAGTTAATACCTATCTATAGAAAAATTTCAAATTCAAAAATTTCAAAATTTGACCAAAGATCAATACCAAACAAACAAAAGAAAAATAGTCCAGTTAAATGTTGTAGGAAAAAAGAGTCTTTCAACAAGGAGTATAGTTTTCTAAATCGGAGACAGATCAAGTATGTCAAAAAAAAGAATCTAAAGAAAGAAAGAATTGACAAAATAATGAATAATTGATTATCGGTGGCATAATTACGGAGCTGCGAATATTCGAGCCTGAGGGGAATAATTTTTTTGTATGATTTTAGACTCGAATATCAGAGAAAAGTCGAAATTCATGATAAGAAAACTTCTTAGCATTCACCTCCACTCTAGCAAGCTTTGGAAAACCTCATATGATTACTGCTCGAGTCAGAATCACAAGAAACTCTATCATTCAAGTCTGAAATTTTACTAAATAAAACTATTCGCTCTTGTGAGAAACTAAGTGAAATTCGCAATCATTTCAAAGAGCAATTGCTTTGTTTTTTGACTGACCGCTATATCTAAAGAAAAACATTCCCATCTAAGTTATATTTCAGTAAAACTCAAAAAAGTTGCTCAATAAAAAACTTTTTTCTGTGACTCTGCTGATTTTTTAAAATAAGTTAATTTTAGTCCTGAAGTTTAACAAAGTTTTAAAACTGGGTTAAAAATGCATGATGTCACAGACTTCGTTAAATTCGCAAAAATATAATACTTCCCATCAGAATATCAAGAAAAACGTTAACCAGTGATTATTAGACTCTTAAGGATGACTTCAGTAAAGTTTTAGTTGAATTAACTGATTCGGCCGATTTTCGTACTAGTCCCCTTTTAATAACAATACACACATTCCGATACTGAATCACAATCAGTTCTTATCTAAAGCAACGGTTGCAAGTATTGCAAGTCCTACCAACACCGACACCAAGTTCATTCCAGATATGGGCGGGAACATTCTAATTTTTTGATTTAATTTGATTTTCTATTTTTCGTTTTCACTTTTTTCCCGTTTCAAGCCGTTTATCCGAACTAAGAAAAAATTATTGTAGAAGCCAAATGACGTCATTGAAGCACAGGTGTAAAATTGAATTGTTTACTTTTGAATTTTACATAACAATATGGAACAGATAGCCACAGGTAGCGTATAATAGCCACTTTCATAGCATAGTTCAAGTTTATAGCAAGTAGCTAGACGAGGTATTATTTTCACTTGTATTATTATTTTAGAAATGATTGTATTTTTAAAGCTCCATCGCGATTATTATATGATTGCATATGATTGCAATTTCTCTTTAGTTTTCCTGAAGCTGAACAAAGTTTTAAAACTAGGTTAGAAATGCATGATGTCGCAGACTTTGTTTTAAAAGTTCGCCAAAATATAATACTTCCCATCAGAATATGAAGAAAAAACGTTAGCCAGTGATTAATTTTCATTCTAGTTAGCGCCTTAATGATAACACATTCCGATACTGAATCACTATCAGTTCAGTCTTACCTAAAGCAACGGCAAGTATTGGAATTCCTACCAACACCGACACCAAGTTCATTCCAAATATGTGGGGGAGCATTCTAATTTTTTGATTTTCACGTTTTCAAGCCGCTTATCCGATGCAAGATCTATTGATTAATAGAAAGACCTGCCTCAGTAGCCTTGGTTCCCCAGTTTGCATTGACATTTCTGATCTTATACTGGCAACTGTTAGATACCATAAATGGTATGAATTAGGGTGTTAGAACATCCTAGCATACATAAATTAGTACAAAATACTGCTAAGTTACGCTATTTTGTTTTTGTTTTGTCTGCGTAGATATTATTGCTGTTAGCAACAATTAATTCTCTCATGAGTTTAGTGCAAGTACTCAAGCAGCTAACATTTCTCACTATGATAACCAGTGTTTATTATAGCAAAATCAATATAGTGGCTTAACCTGTAGAAGCAGTCATATGATAGTTGTGAAAATGGTCTATCATTTCTGTTTCTAACTCTTAATAGACTCTTTGCCCTGATTCCCAAAACAATAAGCTGTATTTTCTCATGTGAAAAAACCCTCATTATTTTGTCCTCCAGTTCAATTCCTCTTGGGAATCAGTGCAAATGGTCTATACCAACATAACAACACTGGAGTAAGCAGACTTTGAAACCCACAACTTTAATATCTAACACTACTAGTTTCATTCCATTGTTTTATATTGATTTGTGTTCAGGTCAAATGACATCATTATGACAACAGAGGCAAAATCTGATTTCTTTCATAAAAACTAGCTTATAAATTTATATATATTCAGCCTTAATTGCCTACAAAATATTCTTAAAACAGTACCATATAAGCTTAAGCTTATATACCTAATGCAAATCTAATGTTTTACATACCAAAGATGAAGTTTAAGAAA